CCACGAGAACCCCTAGAACGGTATTTCTGAAATCCACATAGCTGGTAAGTGTGCACGTTATTGCTTTGCCCACTTTCTAAAATCCACATAGCTGGTAATTGTGAACGTTATGCTTTGCCCACTTTCTAAAATCCACATAAGTGGTAAGTGTGCACGTTATGCATTGCCCACTTTTCTAAAATCATGTACGGTAAGAGCTACATGCAACAGCTTCGTGCTCTTTTTGAGTGGTTTAAAACCCCGGTTCCGCCTTGGGCACCACCCCTCCTATGTTTCCTCTGGATACCTACTTAACAGGGTGTTGCTAGTAGGGATCTGTTGAGACAGTTCCTTCAGTACATACAAAGAGAAACGTGCGGTAGCCACTGTGTGGCAGGCAAAGACTAGTATGATTCTAGGCTCTTGGTCATATTCCCTTAAAGGAAACTATTCCTGATTCCAAGCCTTGAGCTCTACCCCGGGCCCAGGAGTCTGGCCCTAACAGGTAAGTATTTTGGGGTATGTAGCCTAGGCCTTTGGCCGTAGGGAATAACGTCACTGACAGCCGTCTTAACGTCCCAGGGGCGACTCCCATAGCAATATGGTAGAGTTGGTACTTAGTGCTCGCCTGGCATGCACTCCCCTCAGCATGGCGGCGTGGGTATACTGTTCCCCATAGCGACCCCTAGAGGACGCAGTTCGAAGTTCCCATGAAAGGGAACGTCTCAGGTTACTTATGTAACCATGGTTCCCTGAGTAGGTACCGAGACACTGCGTCCTCTAGGTTTCTTGCCATGCTGCGGACGCAAGCTTCCGATGAAGAAGTGAATGATGTGTGCCAACGAGTTGGTGTTTTTTCACTGTATGCTTCAGACACGGGTCACGACGAGGCGTTCCCCATAGCGACCCCTAGAGGACGCAGTGTCTCGTTCCCTACTCAGGGAACCATGGTTACATAAGTAACCTGAGATGTTTTCCACTGCAGAAAGGCTCGTATTTTAGCCTGAAGCAACGGTTTGAAGGTAAATGGATTTGTTTATTACATGCTGCTTTTCGCTTGAAACTCTCATTCTGACGGCATCCACTCACTACTGAGGATCCATTGGTGAGCGAGGGATGTAATGATAAATTATTCCAAATCTGTTCCCATGAAGAAACAAACTCATCTATAACTTTCTGCAAATTTTCATTTTTGGGTGAATTATTCCAAGCAGATTTAAGGTAAGCAAGTTTTTAGATTTAACAAAATAACAATTTTATAACAAATTTAACAGGATGTTTTCTTACAGTTTAGGTCATCCGTAGAAGATATTAAAATATTACAAGCTGTTAAAGTGAGCTTCTGATACAGTTACGCCCCACTGCAGTACACCTGCTTGGTTAAACTTTTCACCTGATACAGGAAAGTGAAATTAATGACTGGGATATGATCAATGTCAAACATTACAAACAAAATTCACAGTGATGTGTGGGAATAACATTGTGCATTCAAGCTGTGTGCATGTAATGGCTGTTGAACTGAGGGAAGGAAAAGAGCCCCTGCCAAATCTAGCATTAACATGGCTCCGTGTGCGTTTTCATAGTTTGTTTTTCAATTTGAAATGAAATAAGCAGAAATGAGAAAACGGTTGTTGAAAAAAAAAAACGAAAAAGATTTTGGCTCAATTTTCGTTTTTTTGGTTCATGGGTAGAAAACAGATAAACGATTTCAAAATTCATTTTCCCTTTGTGGGTGATCATAACACGCCCCTATCCGCCGATTGGTCAACCAAATCTGAGCCCGTGACATCATCCTCAGTTTGTTCAACAAAATAATAGTCCTCTGCTGCTGTACTGGGCAGGTCTTAGATCAGACTTTCTTCTGTGCAACCTAATGCATTTCACAGAAATATGTTGGCCTACTTCAGAAATTTTAATCAGCACCCAGCCTGTTTTATTTAGCTGTTCTCGTAGTTAAATCTGTTTGGTGAAGCTGCACTAACTGTTAAGTATGTTTCTTGGACTGGTTTGGTTTACAGTAGTTGGGATCGTCACAGGGCATCGGTAAGAATGCACAGTGAGTCCAATTACTGTCGAGCCAGATCATAGCTGCATTGTGTATGGGTTTACAAATGTGTGTGTGGTTTTCTATAATAAAAACAAATACAATAATCAATTCACAGCAATAAACGACAAACAAACACCCATATCAAATGTACAAACACGTGAGGACACGTGACTTTGTAAACATAATCGACTAGTGATGTATGCGATCATCGTATTATAACTGCTTCTCAATCATACATAATCTTATCAATCCACACAAATATGGCTCACTGACATTTGGACAATGTATACATTAAAGTAAAATGTGAAATATTATTCGTCATCACACTTATACAGGGCGCATCGAAGCGCACATGCCGAGACAGCGAACATTTATATCGCTAGCATTAGCTTCATGGAGACATGGATGCAATATAGGCTATATCAGAACGAACGTTGAACGAACTGAGGATGTCGTCACGGGCTCAGATTTGGTTGACCAATCGGCGGAAAGGGGCGTGTTAGGACCGCCCACAAAGGGAAAATTAATTTTGAAGTCGTTTATCCGTTTTCTACCCGTGAACCAAAGAACCAAAATCTCGTTTTTTTTTTTTTAACAAATAAAAAATCCCCCGAAAAAACGACCGTTTAAATTTCAAAATGAAAAACTATCAAAACGTACACAGACCAACAAGAACCACAAGCACATTCCATCTGTGAAAGACAGACAGGCAAATATTTACAAATTATACAGCCATTAATATAGGTTTCATTCATAGCGTTAAAATCCTGCTGTAGTCGTGCATTCTATTTGTAGCAAATGTGGATGAATGTTCAGCACAATTCAAGTAGCCTACGTCTTTGTATTTTCCAGTGATAATGTAAGACTGATGACACTGTTTCCAGTTAGAGCAAATGACCTAAATGTTTTTTTTTTAATGTGTGGCCTGATACTCTTGAAACAACATGGCATGGACCCTCCGAAATAAGATTTGAATGCTAAGAAGAGGAAAAGATTGTCCTCTGGTGGACAGAATGCACAATAATGTCCTGAAATAACTCAGCTATGAAAAGAGCGCCTACTTCTCACGACCAGTGACTTTCAAACATGTTCATCATTCCATTTTAGTTGTATCATTAGCACGGACAAACACTATCGGATGAGTTTCACTTCCTGCTGTTCTCAAGAGTTTGAGACTCAGAAGAAAGACCTTTCTGATTTGAACAGAGTAAAAAGACTCTTTAGGTTTTTTCAGCAAATTCGTAATGGATTTATTTGATCAGGCATTCAACAACAAAACACCAAATAATAAATAATGTGACAACATGTCATACATTTTTTTAATATTAAAGGTCCCCTGAAATGCTTAGAAACACGCAGCGTTACTCTGTATTGACGTCATTTTAACTGAAACAGGAAGACAGGGCGGGACATATCAAGCAGCCCGCCCCTTTTTAAAATAGCCAATAGTGTTCGTTTATATCACAGCTTGGGCTAGAGCCGTTCAGAGCCGTTGAGCTCTGTAAAGCCACATTTGACAGGGTATGCCAGCCACAATCTCATCCATATTGCTATAAAATATAGCACTCTGTGTAGAATTCAAATAGCTCCGATACATTTTGTGGTCTGCGCCGACTCGTGCATGTGATCCGCTCCGTGCTATCGTGTCTCTGGACCGGAGCAGAGTGTGTGCGCGGTGCGGTGGTTAGCCTGACAGTGCGAAACCAGACTTATTTGTTTCCTCAATGGAAAGCATATTTACACTGTTTGAATCGTTCCCTGTCCCCTATATAGCGCACTACGTGCCATTCACTGTACAGAAAATACTAATTATGTGGACAAGTGACCGATCTCAGCCGCGTCTTCAGCGTCTATTTTATAGTGTAGGGGATTCTAGAGAGCATTTGATTGGACAGAAAGTTTGATGAGAAGCTGAAGTACGATGTGACGTCAAAAAAATCGTTGAGCCGTTTTGGCGGAAGTGACGAACTGCAAGCTTTGAATGCTTATATCTTCTAAATGCGAATTTTGTCACTGTTTTGGAGTACACTGCCTTATAGATAACCTTAAGACTAACATAATGATACTAACACCCAAAAAACTTTAATTTTGATTTCATAGGGACTTTAACTTCGCATACAGGCTACTTTGCATATTTGCTGATATGCATATGACATGCATATGATTATTTTATCTGGAAAATATAGTCCATGGGCAAAATACTTTATTTGGGAAGGCACATTGTTTAAGTGAGGTATGACATGGCACCGAGCATGTCAGCACCTAAAAAAAAACAAGCCACAAATCTCCACCAGCCAAAGATCGTGTCCATTTTGGTAAAGTTTTTTGGTATAGCATAAAAATCCCAAGTGCACTGAAAGATAATGGGAGAATTTGGCCTGAGTTATTATACCGAAAAAAGCGTTGAAGTAGTGTGTTTGAAGAGTAAATATTCACACTAACCTATATTGTTCTCTTTCTTTCTTTTTATTTATTTAGATTTAATACAATTTTTACAATTTGTCATTTTTCACCAGAACCCATATTTGTGTTTTGTGATCTTGTTTTTAGTAGAATTGTAGGAATTAAAGGATTCTTTTTGTCCTATGGAGACTATTAACATTTCAAAACCCTATTACCAGTTTTATAAAAGATCTAGTTTCATTTTTTTGCGTTGTACTGGGATCATAGGCTATATAAAAATATGAATAGGATCCTTTAGTTCTAAATTATGACAGAAATTCTGTAAAAGCGCTTTGACTGAGGGACTAATAATAATAATAATAATAACAGCAGTCAGACGTTAAGTGTCCCGTCAAAGTGATTCAGTGGAATAAAAGAAAGGCCCTTCACAAAAAAAGCCGTCTGAAGTAAAGATGTGCTGACATGAATGGACGCACAAGCTAATGTGTATCAGGCAGCAGCAGCAGCAGCAGCAGCAGCATTCCAGACTTCAAGTAGGACTAATCCCCATGACGTCACGACCGGGGGGGGGGCCTTCAGAAACACGAGAAGAGTCGCTTTCACAGGAGCAAGTACCAACATGCCCGGATTATGGGACTTCCAAGTAGATTGTAACAATATATAAAAGTCGGAAATTGATCTTTAGCCATCGAGGAGTCTGGCGGCAATGCGGCGACGATGCGTTAGAATCAGGAACGGGTTCTTTAGAGGGACCATTTTCAGCAGAAACCTTTAAAGTTGAGCGAAACGAAATAAATGAAGGCGTTTTATACTGTATTTAGTGGGCGCACAGCGGTTAAGCGCGTTTGCGTGCAATGTTCGGTCGTTAACGCTACGCGAAAACAGCAGCGAACGCTTCGCCGATTCCAATAACGATTGCTTTTGGTTTCACACCAACCTTCATTCAGAATGAACCAGTGTAAAGTCATGAAGGACGGCTGTCTGGAGAAGAGGAGTAATGGAGTGCTGCAGCTGTGGAAGAAGAAGCGGTGCGTTCTGTCAGAGGACGGGCTCCGTCTGTACGACTGTAAAGGCGAGAGCGGTAAAGAGATGCTCTTCGAGCAGATGACCACGCTGGACTGCGTGGAGTATAAACGGGGTCTGGTGTACTTCACCATCGTGATGAACGGCGGGAAGGAGATTGACTTCAGGTGCCAGCAGGAGGGCACGGCGTGGAACGCGGAGATCGCGCTCGCGCTGGTGCGCTTCAAAAACCGCGTCGCCGTTCAGTCCGGCAGGAACCGACATCTGTCACATGCGGGCAGCTGCGGGGAGGGAGACGTCGAGCTCTGAGGGTAAAGACTGCTGATGTTGATGTTGATCAGCGTTTATTCTGGAAGGGCTGCTTGTGTGCTCTTAGTATGGTGAAGCGTTCTCAGGAACATTCTTATTATCCTGAATAACATCTGCTATTCATGCTGGATTGAGCTCAATGAAAGACCGCTCTGTCCGGTCCGACACACGGAAAATCATGACTAAATATTCCTTTATAGTCTTAAGAGGCTTTACTAAAGGTTTTGCATGGAAGAGTTGCCTGAGTCCCCCCCAAAAAAGATAAGAATTTCCAATTGGAATGTTGATGATAATTTGGAACCAATTCTAAAGGACCATATTGGGAGTTTGCTTAAAATTCCAACATATCATAAAATAAAAGTAGCCCATTACAAAAATATTTTAAAGCGCATCTCCAATAGGAAAACTACGGAACATCAAATTGAATATAAAAAAAAAAAACATTTTAAAACACCAATGCCATTCATTTTCTCCAATAGGAAAACTACTCCTATGGAACATCAAATTGAATAATAAAAAAAACACACCAATAACTCCCAAAGTGATTGTCCTGCCATTAATTCAATTCAAAAGGGTTTCCAAGGCACATACAATATTAATAAATGTATATAAAATTCAGTTGGATTATTCGGGTTATTCAATAGGATGTTTTAAAGTTATTATTTGATCCCATTAGTGGTTCCAGATTGTATTAGAAAATCCAAAAGACATTTTGGTATTTATAAGGCATTCGTGCTTGATCAGCTCCCATGCATAAAGCAAAAGCAATTAGATAATGCTGAATGAAACGTGGAGTTAAACCCAGATACTAGATTTTATTCGCTGTAAAAATAATTTGCAATCATGCATTACAAATACACACAGTTTGGATAGCCAGAATATGCCATTTCCATTTATGCATGGAAAATATAAATACAAAAAATGTGATTTAACTGGATGCATCTGTAATTCTTTCCACATCTCATAAGTATCGAAATGCTCCACTAATGCAGTATAACTGTTGTATCCCCCCCGATTTCTCAACCTAGACACAGGATCGGATCCAAAAGAGAGAGAAACTGTGGACAAGAACGTGAAGGCAGGAGCCCAATGTTAAGAAAACACCTGATGAAAAATGCAGAGAACTTTAAAACTCACATATATCTTTTCTTTTGTGCTTCCACCGTTTTTCAAAGTGACACCTCTTGGCGTGCTCGCACACACAGCGGATGGATTTGTGCATGTGGGTGTTAGGCCAAGGATGTTTTGTACACAGTGGAGTTTTCCCATGCACTTTTAGTTCAGAAATCAACAGCAACAGAGACCCAATGGATTGCTCTTCACCATAATTCAATGCTATGTTCACAACCCCAGAGTGGATTTTGGCATGGACATTACACTTTTAAGAGACACATTTACCTCATGCTAAATGGAGGACTTACGCTCAGTATTATAAGTGAAAGCATGATGCTGCTTTAGGAGACGTTAACCATAGATGAAGTATGACTCACAGCTGCACTGTTTAACATTTCAGAAGTATTTGAACAGTGAATCTGGATTCATTCACTTGTAAAGGTTTTCAAACGCACACCAAGCACGGCAGGAAGACCAGACTGCTGTTCCTTGGAATGTATCCCGACTGGACGGAAAACTTGATGGATGTGTTTTTGTTTTATTTTTCCATTGGGCAATGCTATTATTACTACAATTTTCTCCATATTCTGCCGAGCGGTTGCCAAAGTTAGAAAATAATAGTCTGCATTGTGATGGTTAAAAAAGATTATAGAGGAAATGCATTCTGCACAAAGCTCATTATGTCATTAGGTACACATTGTCCAAATAAAAAGAATGATTTTGTGGCTTTGTAAGACATATCGGTGTGAATCTCTCTTAATTAGTTTCTCGAGGCCTGAGGCAACAGCTGGATTTTTACTGCTAATTAGAAGCAGTGTTTTAGCTCTCAGTCGCGTTCTCGAATCTCAACCTCAAGTGTCTCTGCAGCACATGCCCGGACAATGGCCTCACTGACTAATAATGTCCCGCCTTGCCTTCTTTCCCCAGCTGTCAGTTTCACAGCAAGGCCATCAAAGAAGTTGTCAAACAGGGCTTTTTCGTCAGGATGAATATGTTTTGCTATTGCGCAGTAATCTGTGGAAGTTAAGTGCTGCACTGCTGCTTTAACAAACTGAGGCGTGAAGGGAAGTGTAGTATTAATCTGAAACATGCCATAACCGGTTTGTTATCTTAATAAATATCAACCTTGTAATGACAGACCGTGAAAGATCCGTTCAAAGTCACTGAGAATCTGATGAAATCATCACATGTCAGATCTGATTATGAAGAGCAGGGAAAAACAATGTTAAATGCAAACTATAATATACAACTAATTACTCGGAATGGTTATATTAGTTCAGTCTGAAGCATAAAGAACATCGATAAATCACTACAGGTAAAGTAGATACTATCCATCAACATTGAGCATCAGTTCCAGTTTGACTAAAGTAAAAAGAGTCAGGGTCTAAAATGTGTATGTGGTTTTTACGCCGTTACAATGTTATTATGGTGGCCATGAGACACATAACAGTTAAAAAGACATATGATATAAACAAACCATGTTTCATATTAAAGATAGCAACAGATACAGAGATTTTGAGAATGACAGATTCTACATTAATGAGGAAAAAAAATGAACTTAAATGATTTTAGCAAATGGCTGCAATATAACAAAGAGTGAAAAATGTAAGGGGGTCTGAATACTTTCCGTACCCACTGTATGTTCAAATATGCAGTTTTATGTATATGCATATTTATATTTCAACTTCAAATGATATATTTTATTTTAAATATGCCGTTTATATCTATATACATTTCACAATGAATACTTATATTCAGCAAACTTTAAATTAAGAGACAGCTAAGACAGTTGAATAGTTAGAAAAGATGTATATTTGAAATAAATGCTGATCTTTCAAAATGCCCGTTTATCAGAGAAGCCTGAAAAAAAAGTCACTGTTTCCACACAAAAAATATTAAACCACACAACTGTTTTCAATATTGAATCAGCATATATTATATTAATATAAAATATATATTAATATATTAAAATATAACAAAATGTGTTATTGTAAAATATGTTATTCATATTACAAATATTTTAATATAAAATATATTAAAACACACACACACACACACACACATATATATATATATATATATATATATATAAATACTGTATATATCTGCTAGAGGTAATTTTTCATTACCATTTTCATTTCATTATTTACAACAGGTCATTTCTAGTAATTTTTCACTGTTGTTTCACTATTATTTACAACAGGATCTGCATTTTCATGGGTTTAAAAGATCTTTGTTATAAGGGACAGTTAAAACATGTTTGTGCATTATCCTTTCCAATGAATTTGTGACAGGTGAATGTAACATTTTTGAAAAGCCAATCATGTCAGTCTCTGAGTAACATATAATTTATTTAAGCCACTAAATAAACTTCATTCTGTAAAATAAGTATAATGAACGAGGCAAATGGCATTTTGAACGCCTCCATTATGTTATATAAAACCCCCAAAAAATCACCTCACCCCTCATGCATCTTAACATGTCCGTCAAAAACTTAGGCTGACTGTTGGTTGAAATACTAGAATTAAAAACCTCAACAAACACACGCATAGGCATCAGTGTCTGTAACTCTAGTCGTATGACTCTGCGATTATGACTTTGCAATCCGTTCCAAATTAACCAATACACTCGAGCGACCTTCCACTAACATCCCCTGCTGAATGTGTAGGCAGCATTGAAGACTGCGTAGGCACCCAGCGACTGCCATATTCGACTCTCTCCAGTACAGCTCTGGTCTCATCTCTTCAGGCCGTTCGGTGCCCTGGGCTGTGCCTGCGGCCTTGCAATAATAGGCAGATTGTGTGTGTGGAAAACCCCAGAGCCAGAGCTTCTGAGGAGGCTCTGTTAAAAAAAGCCACAGTCTTGAGATGACTCAGCTGTCTGGCAGCTTCCTTACAGCCCACATGTACGCAATGGCTTGTGCACAGCAGTTTCAGAATAAAGTCCTCTTTGAGTGTGTGTATATAGTGTAACTGTAATTAGACCAATATACAGGCTACTAATTGTTCTGGAGAGGTTGCTAAGCTTTCATTCGCTCCATCGCAAAAGTCCTTCAGAAGTAGATAAGAGCTATAAATGTGTAGTGATTTATTTACTCTAAATACATCATGTCATAATGTTCAAAGTGAATAAGGTTGCCTCATTTGACTCCTGTTGAATGTCTCTCCCAGTTGCATAATGCTTCAGTCTGCACCTGGACATGCTGTGGCATCTTTTCCCAAAGGTGTGTCGGTTTCAATGGGGTTAGAGGCAGCACACGGTGGCATGGATACGGATTCACGCCCAAACACACTCACGAGTCATGAGAGAAATGAGATGCAGTGATACAGCCATGTGAAGTGTGTTCAACAGCTGAGCTCTGATAATAAACACTGCAGGAAAGGTACAAATATGTAGATTTTAGCTACTAATATGCACCCTTTAGGGTGAATAAGGTACAAAGGTGCACCTTATTTTCTCAGATTGTTCAATTTTTATCAACATTCTTCAAAGTATCTTCTTTTGTGTTTCATAGAAGAAAGAAGTCATTCGGATTTGGATCAACATGAGGGGTAAATGGTGACAGAATTTGTACTTTTGGATGGACTGTCTCTTCAATGAAAACAAAAGAAGCAGAAAACTTCAGGTTAATATGCTGTTTGTTTTTTCTCTGGACTGTGGTTGTCCCGTCTCTCTCTAGACACATTCCAGAAGGTTGTGTGCGTCATTGACAGAGGCATGTGAGGAGCAGAGAGACCATGTGTGTGTAAACTGTGTTAAAATAGCAGACGGGTGTGAGCCTGATGAATTCAGCGCGCCTCTTTAACCTGCTGCTCTTGCGTTTAATAAACAGAAAACAGATACTTTCCTTGAATGATCTCTGTAAATCAAGTGTGAATCCTGTGAACTTATTAAAATGTATGGTAATATATGTATACATGGAAAGTTAGACTTAATTAGTGCATTGGTAGCCTTCATTTTTGTACAGCAGCCAATGTTTGTATATTTTAATTATTCGTTTAATATTAATAATGTATATATTCATTTACAACGTGTTCAATATTTATGAAATGATATATTTTTAATAGGTACATATTTAATAAGTTATATTATATTTTGTCAGGGTTTCCCAAAAGATTGTGGGTGGGTTAGTCCTCATTAATCAAATGTTTAAATGTATTTAAATACATATTTAAATAAATGTAAAATAAAACGACCAAAATGAAAACACACACACGAAAAATTGAATATTTTATTTGTTTAGCTGAATGTCGTGGGACCATTACCCAACATTAGAGAACTCTGAACATGAAAATGTGTTGTTAAATTATTCAAATATTAGCTTAAAATCTCAGGGGTACTTCAAATAAATATTTTCACTGACAAAGAGTTTGGGAATCCCTGAGTTACATAATACATTTCAAAAAGTCACAATTGATTGGATGACAGTGCATATAGATCTCCAGCAGAGGGCAGACTGACTCAAAATCATGTGGACTGATGTTTAAATGTCTATCTAATGTAATGTAATGAAATATATATATATATATATATATATATATATATATATATATATATATATATATATATATATATAATATTTTTTTATTTTTGAGGGTGAAGTAACACTTACAAAGAAGCATCTGTTGACATGATCCAGATAGATAAAGCCCTGCTGCAGGTTCTCTGGCACACAGGAGGACTGAATGAATGACTGATTCTCTGGCAGAGCGTGGCTGCTGTTGTATGACGTGACGTCAGTCTGACTTTAGTCTAAATATATTTTTATAACATTGACCCTATGTGATGGAAACATGCTGGTTTGTTGATCTAAGGTCAGGTCTAGTGTTACAGGCCACTGTAACAAGTGGCTTCATAAAACCAACACTGAAATGTGATGAGGCATGACAGGCAAAAACATTGATTCTTCATGCACCGGTTAGTTCTGAGATTTGGGGTTATATGGCTTTTCATAACATGTTGTTTCAAACTAATGGAAAGAAAACATCCAAAATACACTTTTAAGTGTTTATTATTTGCGACTGTACACTTGTACAATACAGTGCATATCTTTACAGTCCATTTTCTCAAAATGAGTCAGAAATATCTGTTTCAGCAGCACTTAAATACACCATACACTTATAATACTGTATTCATATCTATATTTTGAAGGTTTTACAGAGGAGTTTGTCCATATATCAATCGCCTGGTTTTATTCAACATGTTCTTCCTAAAAACGTGGTGGCAGTATTTTCAGATTTATAAAGTGATAAAATGAACTTTCTAAAAAAAATGTTTTAGTTCTAGAGTATATGTCAACAAAATTAAACAAGAATTTTGAACCTCGCTATATACAACGTTCAGATTTCTGTTCTGGAAAATTATGCAAATTAGTGCATATTCAATTAGATAATGCCACATTTGCATATTTACACATAACATTGAAAACTTGTAATGTAAAAAAAAGTTTGCGATTCTTAATGTAATTGTTACGGGGCTGACAAGACGTGAGACATTCGGATCCATGTGCAAGCTTTATGAAAAGCAGAGAGGTCAGAAAAACAGGCAGGGTCGAACAATGGCAAACAGGTATATGGCGGGCAAGACACAAGAATAATCCTAAGGCTAGCGAAGGTCAACGAACGGCGAACAGAATCAAAAGGGCAAGACTAAAGGGATAAATCCAGGAAAACAGGCAAAGATCAGAAACCGAGAAAATAGACTAGACTAGACTAGACCAGGCTAGGCTAGGCTAGGCTAGGCTAGGCTAGGCTAGGCTAGGCTAGGCAGCTAACGAGGGCTCTGTAGAGTAGCTATCACTGCTGGCAATAAGCGCATACAATACTCGGCAGTTAGAAGGAGTGAGATGGAGTGTTAAATAGTGAGTGAGTGATATGAAACAGCTGTGTGCAATCAGTGCTGTGTGCAATCAGTGCAATGAATGATGGGATATGTAGTCCGGTGTGATATGTAGTATAATATGTGTGATATATGTGATATGCAACAGTGTGTAGTGCGAGAGTCAATGAAAATGGAAAGGGTGGCCACTGATGGCTAGCAGACGGAAGTTCATGGACCGGATACGTAACAGTAATCAATCAACTGGGGAAATATGATGATATCTTAGTACAATTTTTACCCTATTCCCCCGTGCTGTCTCCTCTTCTTCAGGCATACCGTATCTTTACTGTACTATTCCAAAAATACATATTCATAGCAATTGCACAAATTAAGTGAGACCTTCATGCTGTGTCAGTGTTTTTCTAGGTCAGCATGAGTGGATCAGGGTTTGGGTGAGATGCTTCAGCGCTGCAGGGGGATCTGTGAGGAGAGGAATGTGTCCTGCTGCTCAACAGGTGCTGGATTTAAAACACACACACACACACACACACACACGCGCGCGCACACACACACACACACACACACACACACACAAACACACAATACACCCAGAGCAAAACATTCTTTCTTAAGTGAATTTTAATGTAAGCATTTATTAGAAATGTATTGCATCACTTGCTCACCAATGGATCCACTAACATCTGGCAACCAGAAAAATTTCAGAATTAAAGGAACAGTACACACAAAATATGAAAAAAATGCAGAAAATTTACTCACCCTCAGGCCATTCAAGATTCTAGTTTGTTTCTTCAAAGGAACAGATTTGGAAAAATGTAGCATTGCATCACTTGTTCACCAATGGATGCTCTGCAGTGAATGGGTGCCGTCAGAATGAGAGTCCAAACAGCTAAAAAAAACTTCACAGTAATCCACAAGTAATCCACACCACTCCAATAAATTAACATCTTGTGAAGTGAAAAGCTGTGTGTTTGTAAGAAACAAATCCATCATTATAGACCATTTTAACTTCAAACTGTCTCTTCCATTTAAAACATGAGTCCTCAATCTGCTTTCTCCAGTAAAATAATGTGTCTAGTCTGAATCCAATGAAATATACACAGATCAAGCACCGCTTACAAGTGAAAACAGTCCAAAACAGTTCTAAACAAATATGTGGGTGGATTTTGATGTGAGAGAAAAACAGGAGATGGACCTTTTTCACTGGAGAAAGCAGATTATGGATTATGGAGTCATATTTTAGCCAGAAGTGACAATGATAAATGATAGATTGTTTCTTACAAACACACAGCTTTTCACGTCACAAGATGGACTGTAGTGGTGTGGATTACTTGTGGATTACTACTGTATTGTTTTTTGTCAGCTGTTTGGACTCTCATTCTGACGGCACCCATTCACTGCAGAGCATCCATTGCTGAGCAAGTGATGTAATGATACATTTCTTCAAATCTGTTCCTACGAAGAAACAAACTATCATCTTGAATGACCAGAGGGTGAGTAAATATTCAGCAATTTTTCATATTTTGTGTGAACTATTCCTTTAATTCTGACATTTTTCTGGTTGCCAGATGTTACTGAATCATGTTGATAGTTAATGTAATGATCACCTGTGGTTATTCCAATAGGACACCTGTGTGGAAAAATCCCTGCCAGTAAAATGCTTTAGAAAAGTGGTGTTAGTCCCGAGAAAAGCTTTAGCAACATTTGTTTTGATGTTTTATATCTAATACAATGACATTCCATCATTAAGAACGGCTTAAGTGTCTAAATTCTTTTTGGAGCCACTGTATATTGACATTTCACAGCACAGCAGACGAATCGGCTCTGAGCAGATAAGCCAGACCAGTGATGGTCCACTGGCACAGCAGACAGACAGATAGTAAAGAGCCGTGGAGCCATGAGATGAACCTAGACACGGACAGACAAGGAGAGAGAGAGAGAGTGAAAGATCTGTGCTCTAATAATATCCTCCACTGACAGATTAGAGATACAGAGACTCTCTGGGTTAAATAAGGGAGCACATCTCTATTCTGTTATCAATTATCAGATTGAGGACAACACAATACAAACACACTGTAAGGTAAGATGCTTCTACTGATGGGAAATCTGCTGATCACAATAGACATTTAAACATAGTATATTTCATGATAAACTACATGTAAACAGTTCTCCGTTAATTTTGATTTACTCTTGTTTTTTTTGTATACATTTCTATATTTAGATATTTCATTCTACATTTATTCTACATTACTCTATATTCTAGACTTAGATTTTTATCAGTGTTCTTCATCCTGAAATTTTCATAATTTTCATAGTTAATAAGGTCTTTCATAATGGTCAGGCAATTATATGGGTTAATAGGATGCATTAAAGAAATATAATTTAACAGAATTAATAGTTTTATCAATTAAGTTGATGTAACTCATCAAGAGGAGGACTACTGTTTATTGTGAATAATTTCTGCAGATGAAATGTTTAAGAATATTATATGATATTACGATATGATATAATATAATACAATACAATACAATATCATATCATATTATATTATATTATATCATATCATATATCATATAATAATTTACCCTACATAAGACAATCAGTTTGGAGAACTGATGGACTATATATTATTATATTATACCATACTATATTAAATATTACATTATTGTCATTTTTTTTACTCCTGTGTTCATATTTGTGAGTAATTGACAATTTTCTTGCAACCTCAAGCATTTATTAATTTTTTTCCAAAATTCACCCTTCATCAAATGCTTCACCTCTTTAGATAACTTTCTATTTGTGGAACCGGACAGGTCCAAATTCTTGCTCTTTGTGTTAATGCAGCTGCTGATAAAGTAGTAGGATCACTCATGACTTTGTTTGAGGGGCGTTTCGGTCACACTGTAAAAAAGGATTGTACTGTTAATGATTTTAACAGTAAAAGACTGTAAAATGCTACAGTAAAAACCTGTTAACTGGTTAACAGTAAGTTTCCATACTATATTCGGGGAATAAATGTAATTACATTTAATGTGATTTCACAGTAAAATACTGTTAAAAATAAGTTTTTTGGAAGTGAAAAAGAAAAAGTCATTGTATAATTTACAGTGAAAAACCGTAAATTGACACTCAGAATTCCCTGCATGGCACTTCATATTTGATGTTTTTTTGTTGAAATAACATGTTTCTTCTTAGTTTTTCTTATCAGTTGTGTACACTAGGGTTTAATCTTACGTCTAATGTTGTTAAATTAATGTTTATTGCATTATTTCAGTATCATGTGTGTCAGCATGATGGGGTTTAGTGTTTGTGTGAATGACACTGTGCACCTTCTATATATAAGTATTGCCCTCCTCGGCTCGTAGAAAAGCTGTTTATGATGAGCTTCGGTTCATCATGTGACTTTCTCATCACCACCAGTTTTTGGTGGTTATCTGTGCATTTCAATGGTACAAATCAGATTTTAGTACTTCAATGTGTTGGTTTATTAACATTGCATCAGTTAATGAAATACAGTATTTTATTGTGAATTTAAGTCAAGTCTGTAAAACCTAAAATGCTGCTACCATATTTTTTACGGTGAAGTTCTGGCAACCACAGCTGCCGGTATTTTACCGTAAATGTCACAGTTTTTTTTTTACAGTGCACTGACTAGAGATATGCAGAAAATGTGAGTGGGTCAGAGGAGGACAGGATGTGGCCGTGATGTATTCATAAATCCATTCAGTGGGAGTACTGAGTTCAATTTGATTTCATGTGTCAAATTCATCTAGAAAACATTGAATAAAAGGATTTTGCTCTCTTTTTAGTTGCCAAGATGCCTGAACAAGGGTAAGTGTGGCTCTCTAAGACCAACAATAATATCTCCTAATAAGTTGTCAGTATATACTAACGTACATTTTATGCTGTATTTTCAGGCAAGAGGTAAGTTATGCATTATTTCCTCTAATAACTAAAACTTAGATTATTTGATCATCTGTACTACCTGTACTGTGTTATAACTTTCACATCTCTGGCCCAGAGGAAATCCAAGATCTCAGCCTCAAGAAAGCTTATGCTAAAGGTTGGTTTGCAGCTCATATAAATTCAACATTTACTTTCATATATATAATTCGCCCCTCTTAACAAGCAGCACTATTTGAGATTTAAGAGTTATGATATAAATTGCAATACTTGGAGGTAAGAGGTTTGTTCAAAACACTAATTCATAAGAACAGGAACACACCACTAGATGGCAGAAATGTGTCTTAACCAATGTTGGGCCTGTCCCAATATCTACACTTGGAGTCTTGAAAATAAGTGTGCAAGACTGTCCCAGGACTGAAAAATGACCAAGAATAGTCCCTTAAAGAAAACTGAATCCACTTCAGAGTGGTATTTGAGGCTAAGCGTATCCCATCATTCATCAAATTAATTAGGCTATTACATAAAATTTGGTAGTAAATGTTTGCAACTGCTCTTTATCAGTTAATTAGAAGCACCACAATTAATACACTGTGTCTTATGTTACATAGGGATACTAAACAGACAATAATAAGTTCATTTTGAAGTGCAAACTCTAAGAGTGTCCATCAGGTATTTAAAAGTTCTCCATGCCCACTTGAACATTTGGTCAAAAGCAAAGACCAAAAGTGTGGATATTGGAACAGTCCCATTGACATACAGTTGTGTGTTTTCAGAGTCTGATGGTGGCCAAAGCCAAGGAGGAGCTGGATCAGGAGGTGTTGGATAAAGAGGAGGAGAAGCAGAGGTATCTGATGGAGAAAGTTCCTCCTCTGCAGACACAGGGCATGTCATTCGCTGAGCTTCAGGTAAGTGTTGTTCAAATTAAGTCCACCGCCAGACTCCACCTCCAGTTTTGCTCATTTGGTGCCACACGAACATCCTCACGACTTGAAATCTAATGGTACAATCACTGCTGCTTGCGCCACTCTGCCTATTTATTTGCATATTAGCTTTCATAAGGCTTATGCAAATGTCTTAATTTGATTAATTGCAATGTAAAAAGCCAACCATGGGCATTATTATGAGATGTATGTTTGGGTAAAATGATAACTAGGAAAATTGCCATATGATATTTGGTTTCTTATAACAAAAGACCTATTGGTTAAGCTTTATAATGTTGTCAGAGTCGGCAACCTGTGTAATATAATACGCATTCACATCAAAAAGGATTCCTGATTAACATTTCTGTCTCTTTTAGGAACTCTGTCAAGAGCTTCATGCTAAGATTGATGTGGTGGATGAGGAGCGCTATGATATTGAAGCCAAAGTCTCACTGAATAAGCGTGAGGTATGATAATCCACCTAAGCCATAGTTTAATAACCAGCTGGACAATGTCACAACTTGCTGTCTTCATCTGCTCTATTTGTAGGATTCTAATATTAGTGTGCAGTTCTGAGTAACTGCGATTTCATGAAAAGGTGGAAGAAATTTTCCACCTTTTGTTCCAAAACTATGTGAGCTATCCTGCTCTCTACTCGCTACATAGGCAACATATGAACTGAAATGGAACCTAATTAGGAATAACGCAAACAGACTTCAACTGTGTGTCATACAAACAGTGCTATTGGGAAGCTAACAACATGGCACTCTTATCAGCTTAAAAAGTGCATCAAAGTACACAAAAACATTGACTAAAATAGTACATTTTAATTATTATGAAATATATTTAGATGTACTGTTCACTTTTGAAAGAATTTTGCTCATAATTATCATTTCTCTTGCTTAGTTTGCTGTTTTGAATGGATTTGTTCATTGCAGTGCATTATAGGATTGCCTTCTCCAAAACTAATTCATGAGCTGTGTCCGAAATTGCATACTGAGTACTACAGTGCTAGTATGAATGTGTGTAGTATGAATTTAATCCGGATTCATCATGTTGTCACTAGCTATTTTTCTATCCAAAGTTGCTAAATTAACTTATGCGCAAAATTGGAATATTGCATGAAACATTTGCACATAAATCACCGTTTTCATTCCAGTGAGATGAAGAGAACAAATCGTCACTTCCTGATAAACTGGCGCCACATATCAGAAAGAAAAATGTAATTTATTGCAGTAAAATTTGGCATTAAATCAAAATCAAAACTTGCATTCACCTGTGTTCATTTGAGTACCACGCAATCAACAATGATCCATAGAACCAAGTCCCGCCCTACATCTTTTCTTTTTCCACAATTCGTTACACTTGAAGTGCCATCACAATACGTAAGAAAAGATCTGTCGCTACTTCTGCTTCATTGCGACTAACAACCCACTGAATCATTCATGTCTGAAAAGGTGCCAAGAACAGCGAGATCCTCAGAACTTCAGAAACTTGCAAGCGAAAAGTAAATGATTAATTTTGAATATTATTATGATTATTAAAACCTTTTTTATACATTTCATCAGAATACATGGCTTGTTTTGAATGACCTTCAATGCAGAAAGATGCTTTTTAGAACTATACAGTGTATTTACAACATCTACCAGCAGGGGCTAATCATCTTGCTAATGCTTAATAATTGACGACCGCGTTATTTTACATAAGCATCTGCTTACACATGCACTCACTTGTTTCTGCTTCTTCTTCACTGTGTTTTGATCCAGACATTCAGTACTCTTTGTGTTTGTGTGTAATAGCGCCCCCTTCTCTCTCCTAAATGACAGAAAGTTCCCCTCGCCAGCATTTTTGATAATTTTCACAAAACTTTCATGGCCCCTCAGAATATTTTGCAGTGATGACTATCTGAACATTTTTATTCTACGTTTTTATGTTTTACTCTAGCTTCATGCATTCTTTCAGTCAGCCCGACGCATTTCTCATTTTCCCGTCCTGTGCCACGTTGTTTAAATATCAAATGCATTTGTGCGCCCATGGGTGTGCTGGTCTAAAAAAAGAGGTGTGTTCAGGCGCATTTTTGACGCGTTGCTATTTTGAGGAACTGAAATAGACTGCGCAATAGACCAACTCAAACCTGGTTTAAAGTCTGGCGCAATATTTTTTCTTTGTTAGTTAAAGAGCGCGTTAGTAATACGCGCCTATAGACGGGTGCACAACGCGTGTACACTTTGCTTATTACACACACAGGGATGCGCAGGAGCACACAAACATTTTTAAAAATGAAAAATTACATTCAGCCATATAAATAGAGAACCCGCCATGGCGCGAGCGCAACTGGCTTTTAAAGGGGGATGGGAGATGAAACTCTGATTGGTTTATTACACGTTACGCCCAAAAAACACCCATTACTCATTAAGAGAATAGGGACAACCTGTTTAGACCATGCGCCTGGGCGCGCCGACCGTTTTCCCGTCGTTAAACTAGCAAAAGTGGATTCGGACACGCCCTGAGTGCACCTGCGCCGTGCGCTTTAGACCATGCGCTTAGATCGTTAAAATAGGGCCCTACGTCAGGATGGAATTCAGAAAGATGATCAAAATATAGATGGAATAGATTGCTTCCATCAACACCTCCAAAGCTTACACAGTCATGTACCACTTCCTGTGTCAACATTTAATTCGGTAACGTTAGGCAGTTTTGATTTATTTGCTGTTTAATGTTTGATGATCACTTTATTTTACATATAGATCTGCTTACAAATGCGATTGCTTGTTTCTGCTTCTTCTTCACTGCGTTTTGATCCAGACATTCAGTACTCTTTCAGAAGATGTGTAATAGCGCCCCCTACCATCTCGTAAATGATGGAAAATTCTGTCAATGGTGGGGAAATAGTGAACCTCGATTCCTTAAAAATAACCTATTTTCCTTTCAAATCTTTCACTCAAGTGGAATCACCCAAAAGGCTAAACCCAAAATTCAGTGTAGTGCCATTCAATGGAATTTCTATCATTTGCTGATCATATAATCATGTTCAAAAACTGCTAGTTAATAGTATCACTTCTGTCTCTTTCTGCAGAAGAGGCCAGTTGAGGACAGCGACTGGAGGAAGAACGTGGAGGCCATGTCTGGTATGGAAGGAAGAAAGAAGATGTTCGATGCAGCAAAAGGCCCCACCCAGTGAAACCTTGTCTAGTAAAGTTAACACTCAATGTATTGTTTGGCAACAAAAAAGGATTAGGTTTAGAGTTACATTCTAAATATACCATTAAATACCAGATATACTGTTATTTCAATAATAATTGTAATTCTGCTCAGACTGCTCAGCATTGGTGCAAATCATTACGCAACTTTCATGTGGCCAATAAGTAAATAATGACTAGCCTAGTTTATCTTTTATTATGTCAATATTCAGTTATTAGGAAGAGTCAATGGAAGGGCGTGCCAATGTATTATGAGAATAAACAAAGAGAAATATTCGTTGATGTACAATACTCATTATATATGTTTCCAAAAGGTTCCCATGCTCCAACCGCATGCTCAGTTTGGCATGGTTTTCTGTGAATTATTGTTTACGAAAGCTCATAATTCTGACTTGCAGTGCTGAAATTAAACACATGTAGGTATGTAATTGTACTTACAAAAAAGTGTATAATAACACAGCCAGGATAGTGTGATAAGGTCTTTTTGCATGCTATATAACAGTAAAGTGCCTGAAGAATTTAAACAGGTGTGCTGTGTTTCTTTGTTTAGGCTAATTTGATGCAAATGTTTAAATTGCCATTGAATCAGATCGTGCATATGATGAGATAAGGAGCACATTCAGGAAGTGAAGCGTTAACTATGGAGGCTGTCATCTGAAGACAGTGGACTCTTACCCTTATTTGCATAGTGGATATATCTCTGTCTTCCCTGTGTTGGCATTGGGTGGGGTGTTCAGGCCACTTATGCATGCTGTACTAATTTAACGTTAAACAGTCGAAGTGCATTGTGACATTCCTCACTTGGAATGTTTTTTTCTCTACTTGCATGAGTGAATATTGAGGCAATTGTAAATGAAACAATATGGCGGAAACATGCCACCAGATTTGTCATTACAGTGGAGTTGCCTATTATTTCCTTTAAGACCAAACCCTTTGGTATACTGGATATTCTACTATGTCTTTCATATTGCTCTGGTCAAAGTCTAGCTGTCTCTTATAGGTGTGGCACAGAGAATAAAGCAAACACCTCCAGCCTTTGAGCTTCAATGGATTCTGAACTTTAGAGCAAATACCACTGCGAATAATGACATAAAGTGATGTCCTGTATGCTTGACTTCACTTAAAATGTTATATTCTAGTGTATTGAATGTATGTCTTACAGAATTCACATAAGACAATGTTTCAAAATGTAACATTGTTTTGAAAACAAGCACATTTCACCCTATACACTGCTACCTGAAATAATGTGACAAAACTAGATTCAAGACTGAGTTGACACAGCATGAAAAACAATTGTCCTACTACAAACAACAAAGATATCAATGTCTGTAAATGATATCATTGATTAAAGTAGATCAATTCTACTTTATCTATTAAAGTGGATAAAGTAGACTGATTAAAGTAAATGAGTCACCAACTTATATTGACAGATTTATAATTCTACATGAACAAAATATTAATATATAATAGAATATTTATTTATTCTAAATAAATTCTTTCTGTCATTTCATATAACTAAACAATGTTAACATTGATAAGTATATGTAACGTTATGTTTAAAAATATGATGTTTTTTATGTATTATAAAATATCCTAAAATATGTAAGCCAAATAATGTAGAATAGAATAATGCAATACATTTTAGTTATGATAGATATTTTCAAACCTTTATTTTATTGCTTCTAGCTTTCTGACATTTCATGTAATTAAAACAATGTTTACATTGATAAGTAGGCCTATATGATGTTATCAGTAAAAAAATAGTATATTAAAATAAAATATCCTACAATATACAAGGTGAACAGAATACAAAAAATGCAAAATATTTTAGTTATCATGATATATATTTTCACCCATTTATTTTATTGCTTTTGACATAACTAAAACACTTTTTTTCTCTCTCTGGGGTATCTAGTAGTTAGTAGTTAATTTTTTTTAAGATATATATTGTTGGCCATTTATTTTAGCTTCCAGCTTTTTGACATTCCACATAACTAAAACAAAGTATGTTTTGAGGTTTCGAATGTCTCCAAGTGGCATAAATGAGTGATGAATCCATCAAAAAATAAATAAATCACAAACGATTGAATTCTGACCCCCACAAGAAAAACAAGAATACTTGGGGGAAAAAAATGTTAGTTGACATCTCTGTGTAAAAAAAAAAAAAGTCTGCATCCCCTTTGTGGAAAAAAATGTGTGCTTAATTTGTATTGAATGTGCACTTATAGTGTACTTGAAATCTTAAACGTATATCATTATTACTTATTATTTTATATTATATTGAATATAATATATTGAAATAAATGACTTGCAAGATTAAATAGAAATGGCATTAAAGTATTTAGCATAAACGTTGTCAGTACATTCAGCAGTAAATTTAACCATATTTACACAGAAAATAGAAGCAATTATGAAATTAAATATATAGAGATGTACTTAAGTTGTACTTAAGTGGTTCAAATATTGCACTCTGAAGTTCAGATAATTGCATTTATTTTAACTTTAAACTATAATACATTTTCATTTCAATAAACACACAAGTGTCCAAATCATTATATTCAGTTTGCACATATATTGCACGTTTACTTATTTTTCACAAGGTTTTAACCACTCAAAGTCTTAAACCCATTAAGAGTGCATGAAAATGAATCTTCGAACACTAACATGACATGACAACATGCTAAACACACTACTATAACGTTTCCAGTGTTAGCGGGCCTGCTGATGCTGGCGACTCCGGTGGCGGTCTGGCCCAGCTGCAGATGGACTTTGTGGAGATGTTGCAAGTCCGTGATGAACGGAGGAGGATGAGGCACGTTGAAACCCTGAGGAAGAATAAGGAGGAAGATGATGGGGGCAAAGAGACCGACCCGGATGCGGAGCCCCATGTGGAGCTGCTGGGGGACCAGCAGGACGAGGAACTCTTCAAGGACATTCAGCGCTGCGTGGAGACCTTCATGTCAGCAGAACCTCCCACCAACTCCAGAGACTCAGAGACACAGGAGAAGGTAGGAAGACATGGATTCTCAATGTACTGTACAATAGTTCTTCTACAGTGATGTGATGATTTTAGAGGAAACAGAGGTGGTCCAAAACCTACAGAGCTGACAACTTAAGACAGCATTTTAAGGAATCACGGGTCAGCTTCAGGCAGACAACAGAAAGTTATATTGCCATCAGCCGATAGCTGTGGCACACTGGTCAATGAATACTAGAGAAGTGGTTCTCAACCTTTTTGACTTCAGTTTCCACAACGTTTCCCAACCCTGTTCCTGGAAGCACTCCAACACTACACATTTTCAGACTCATCCTAATAAAAACAAACTGAAATCAACTCATCATCTTATTAGTAGAGACTCCAATGCATGAAATGGATGGGTCAGATAAGAGAGACATCCAAACTGTGTACTGCTGGGGTGCCTCAAGGAACAAGATTGGGAAACACTGATCCACAAAACCAGTCATAAGGGTCAATTTAGCGAAATTGAGATGTATACATAATCCGAAAGCTGAATAAATAAGCTTTCCATTGATGTATAATTTGTTAGGATATGGCAATATTTGGCTGGGATACAACTATTTGAAAATCTGGAATCTGAGGGTGCAAAAAATCTAAATATTGAGAAAATCGCCTGTAAAGTTGTCCAAATTAAGTTCTTAGCCATGCATATTACTAATCAAAAATTACGTTTTGATATATTTACGGTAGGAAATTTACTAAATATCTTCATGGAACATGATCTTTACTTAATATCCTAATGATTTTTGGCATAAAAGAAAAATCAATAAATTTGACCCATACAATGTATTGTTGGCTATTGCTACAAATATCCCCCAGCGACTTAAGACTGATTTTGTGCTCCAGGGTCACATATTTGAAAACCAGACACTCCTAGTTTCTGTAAATGAAATAACAGAATTACAAAAGTTTAAAGTTGCATGTTCTTTAAGTTTCTCACTCTGTTTAACCAATAAACTGACTGCATTTTCCAGTTGATTTAAATGATTTTTACTCACACCTTTTACAGTACCTAAGAAGATATTTTAGATCTTGGAATAACTAGAAAAATGTATATTGATTGTAAAACTTCACATGGAGTTTTAGGTTTTATTGATTGGCATGACTTTTCCAGGTTTAGATATGCTTTTTTTTATTTGAAAACATACATAAAGAAAAAAAAATTGAGGAGGATTAAAATAAGACACATTTTTAGTTTAGCCCTGTACTAGAGCTAGTTCCCCCAATATCAGTTCCAAAATCTACCAACTGCATCATCAGGAGACAATAAACAATGTTTTTAATTTATTTTATTGATTTATTTTTTTACTTTGAGTAGTAGTAGTTATTTATTTGTATTGCCATGCCAGCATCTGAGGCCATCTTCATGGCAAAAACTGAGTTGCAATAATACAAGAGTTCCACAAACACAAAATAAAAACCAAGCAAACAGAGAAATACCGCAGTTAAAAATGATATAAGGTTTTTAAAATTCATATATGAAAAAAATTCTAAAAACTTTTCGGGTTAAATCCTTGTACTTCATAAAAAAATTACTTTAAAACAGTCCAATAAAATATGTTTAATGGTTTTGCAGAACATGCATAGAGTTGGATCTTCAGCATGGCACTGACAATCTTGTAAGACCTAATGACATCTCCTAAAACACCACTTGATCAAATCTGGTTTTAAGGGAGAGAAAAAGTCTCTTTGATTTCTTTTTAAGTATATATTCAAGAGAAATGATTATCTTTAATAAAGTGCAGAATCTAAGGTAAACTAGTTCACCCACAATCTGCATTTGCTTTGTAATTTTTATGTTTATTAGCATATCACTGTAGGCTTAACAACATGTTAACGTCAGACTCTCCTGGAATCAACGTGGATGCAGTGTCACAGAGCAGTTTAAATCCATCAGTTATGGTTGTACTGTTGGGCTTGGTATGGTTTGGCGTTTGTTGCTAGAACAAATACTTTGCCATT